CCCCCCCCTCCCATTTAGGCCCGTTTACGCAGAGGGTTTTACTGACTTTGGAGGAAAAGAACCTTCCATATGACATGAAGTATGTTGATTTGAGAAACAAGCCTGAATGGTTAGTTTTTGACATCCTTATACCCAAGTTAGTTGTTGCCACATAGGGTGATAATTTAGTACTATTATTTTCAAGTTGTGCATTTTTAAGTAACCGAAGCTCTTTATATAACAATTTATCTAGGTTTTTGAAGATAAGTCCTGAAGGTAAAGTTCCACTTATAAAGCTTGATGAGAAATGGGTTCCGGATTCAGATGTCATCACACAGGCACTCGAGGAGAAGTTCCCCGAACCTCCGCTGACAACTCCTCCCGAGAAGGCTTCCGTGTAGGTTTTACCTGTCGCGATCATTGATGTGCAGTTTTATATTATGTCTGCCTATGAAGAATCTAATTGCTAATTATTGGCGTTTTAATGTACAATTGTATCTCATTATGTTTCATATTCTTGTAGTGGATCAAAGATCTTTCCAAAGTTTGTTGCTTTTCTGAAAAGCAAAGACCCGAGTGATGGAACAGAGCAGGAATTACTTGATGAGCTGACAGCTTTCAATGATTACCTTAAAGAAAATGTAAGTGATTGAATTTATCTGTATATGTGCGCGATGCTTGTGTTTATATTATGCCGTTAATGAATTTTAGGGTGAGAAGAGCATACCCTGCATTTTGAACAATCAAGTTCTTTTGGTTTTCTATGTTCTTAGGGGTCGTTTGGTACAAGGGATAAGGATAATAATCCCGGGATAGAATTTGGGATTGTATATATTCCACGTTTGTTATAGGTATTAGCTAATCTCGGGATAAATTTTCCACTAAAATGGTGGGGTTAGCTATCCCATATAAAAGGTGGGATAGCTAATCCCATGGGATATTTTGGTTTACCCCACCATCGTACCAAACGACTCCTTAGGCTACCAGAGTTAGTGACAGGCCTGAATTTGAGAATACGAGAGGTGGTCAAGCTTTAAAAATTCATCATATGAAAGGCATAACATGATGTTTTTGCTGCTTATGGAAATGCTGGAGAGTAATTCAATTGAGGTTTTGTAAAGTATGCTCTTCTCCCAGCTGAACTGGTGCTATTTTGGTCTATCATATAATTCTCTAGTTGCCATTTTAGCTACATTTTCTACAGCTTACACTTAACTGTGCTGAAGTTGGATAGAAGTGGTTTTTCCTCTTGTTTTAGTTGCAATTTGTCAGGTTTACTTGGGTCGGGCAAATACTTAGATTGCTTTTTGCCTAGTTTGGCAAATGCAAGAAAATCAATAAACCAGTATGCCCTATCAAATTGGTCTGAGACATACACGTTTCATTTTTCTTGCCCAAAACTTTTTTTTCTTTTAATCTTCTCCAAATCGAAGTCAAGTTTGCATCAACACTGCTAGAATCTCAAAGAGTGGTATAACAGCAAGAAAGTTAAGGAGAAAGATGAAAGAAATAAGCCAAAATGATGTTTTCTTCAGTTGCCCTTTCGTGTGAAAGCCAAAGATCCTTTTAATGAAAAACTATGTCCTGGCTTGTGGGAATTTTGAATTGCTGAATTACACAAATGTGCTTTGACTTATGCACATGTTTTTCAAACAGGTTACTTCTAATTGTATTCCTTCCAACTTCTAGCAACTGTTGACAAAGTCTTTCTATCTTTTTGCTTGAAGGGCCCATTTATAAATGGAAATGAGGTATCTGCCGCGGATCTGTCGCTTGGACCAAAGCTATACCATTTAGAAATAGCTTTGGGGCATTATAAGAATTGGTCTGTTCCAGATTCATTTCCCTACGTGAAGTCGTACATGAAGGTACACAAAGTTTATGCATCTCCTTTTTAGGTTATCTTCATCATCTTTTAAAGTAATTATATTGATCCTTGTTCAGTTTATGCAGCATCTAATAACAGTATCAGGCTTTAGTTGCTGAACCTGGCTTCTTATAGCAATAATTCCTTATCATAGCCTCTGATACCCAGTGAATGTAATAGGAAGTTCACACATCTTGATTTTGTTGCTACATTCTTTTGTTTGTCAGTCTCAAAAGTTGAGATTTTGGCCTAAGAAATAGTTTCTCTGTCTGGGTTGGTAGATTTTTATAAAAATAAAACAGCAGGCAGTTTCCATTAATAAAAAATCGATCTCCAGCTCAGTTTTATATAGTCTCTTTCAGTTTTATAGACTATGAATAATTTCAAGTCCTGACCGTCTGATGTATCTGTATATGTGCAATGCACTCTCTTAATATCTCTTGTTAAATTTGTGTCAAACACTCTCTGTGTATGTGTTTTTGTTTTGTCTTTAAGTTGAAGATCCTAAAGTCGCACTGAAACCTAAAATTTGCTTTGGCTTTGATTCACAAGTATTTGGAGATGTATTGAGAAAGTGAATTAGGACTCGTAGAATGAGGATTTAGGATTCCTCTAAGTTATTATGTTTTCATTACTCTCTCGTCTTCCTATACCTCCTAAGATCCTCTTCTTCCCACAAATCCTAACAAATACTTAAAAAAAAGAATAAATAGAGAAATAAGACAAGATCAAAGATGAAAGCCAAAGAAATTCCTTTTCCAGTAGAAAATACTAATTCATGCATTTGTCGGTCTGGTGGGACAGTTGCCAACTGAATAGATTCTTATACCTTGATTTGTTTTGTGCTCAGAGTATATTCTCCAGGGAATCATTCATCAACACGCGGGCGCTAAAAGAGGATGTCATTGAGGGTTGGCGACCAAAAGTCATGGGTTAGACAAACGATATCATCATCTTTTGCACTTTTGAGGATTAGGTTTTTGTTGCAAGGTATATATAGTAAGCTAGCATTTGAAAGTCTCTATGACTGTTCTTTGCCATGAATACTTTGATTAAAACACATTCTCTTCCTTATTTGACTGAATGATAGCATGAATTACGTAAGCAACATATACTTCCAGATGCTCGTGTGTATGCAAAAGTTGTTACTTTGTCAGGTAAGGAATGTTAACAGCATAACATTAATGTTGGCCGCTTGGTGCAGCATCCTTAATAAAAATGCCTTCTCTGCTCGTGAATCCTTTAGCACTTGTATTCCGGAATTGCCACCTCTATTTATACCATGTGGTGCAGGAGATGTTTTAGAAGATTCCGATATAGTGCTGAACCCTCTGAGTCAAGAGGTCTATTTTACTATTGGATTAGTTGTGTCCAGTGGAAACTGTTCCTGAATCAAAAGAGACACTGGGAACTTGCAATTGGTTGGAATTTACGCCTTCCCTAATGCATAGTACCTGAGGAAAAATATGATACAGTTTGTTCGGCCAAGGGTAGTTTTTGGAGCTGTGATAATTTCTATTTTACATGTGACTTTTCGTGATCTCTGAAAAGAACTAAAAATTCTATAAATTGTTGTCATAATTGATTAGTGGGCAATTTCATTCATTGGAAATAATTTCCTTTCAAGCTTTCGAGCTATGCATAGGATGATCCATGAATTGAAATTCCATGCAATATTGGCAAAGTCACATGTAGTTATTAATATAGCAATTAGGGGTGTACATAGGTCGGGTTGATTCGGATTTTACAATTACCAAACCAATTGTGTCGGGTTATTAAATCTAAAGATCAAACCAAATCAATAAAACTCGGGTTTTTCACTTTCGGGTTTTCGGGTTATTCGGGTTTTTTCGGAGTTTTTTTTCCGGTAAAATCTTCGTAGAAAAAAAACATATATAAATTATGCACAAAATATTTCTTTAATCCCGGTAAAATACAACTATATAAAGTATTTTCCAAGAAAATAATACGAAATATGAGATGTGTCATGACATTATTCTAAAATATTCTACAATAAAGACAATAAAATTATGTAATATGAATATTGCTAATTAAAAGGCCATAATAAAAATAAGCATAATCTAAAAGTACTAAGTCATGCTAAAATAAGTAGACTAATAA